GGGGCCGCGCGGCCGCGGGAGGCGGGAACCCGGTGAGGGAGCGCGCGGGGGCGCCCTGGGCCCCCAGCCAACCTGCAGCCGCCCGGCTTTCCGCAGCCTCGCCTGCCCAGCGTCAGGGCGGCGCCTCGGACCAAGAAGGAACAGGTGGGCAAAGGCGATGTGGCGCGGCGACGAGGGCAGGTGGTGAAGGGAGCCGTCTGCTGACCGGCGGGGCTGTCCTTCGCCTAGATTATTGAGCGCCTTGAACTAACTTGATCCAAATCACAGAGCTGTTTAATCCAAAATCAAGGCTAAAACTTTGGTGTTTTGAGTCCCTTTATTCTCTCTACTGCTCACTAGAGCTTTCCCGGGGGGAGAAGTAGGCAAGGGTCACAGCTCCAAGTGGCTCTGCTAGAGGCCCTGGGGCTTCAAAGCTGAGGGTACTCCCGTGTGACTGAGTCAGACCATGACTGCAAGGGCCTTGGACACCTGGGTGTCTGAGAGGACCCTCCTCTCCGCGTCCTCTTTGAGGTCTCCGCAGTTCCTCTAGGCGGGAAAAGAAAGCAGAAGCTGGGGACAGGCGTCTGGGCTGGCACTTGCGGTGGGGTGGATGGGGGGGCTCCCACTTCGCCCTCCCCTCCACACCTGGCTGCACCACACTTTGCCAGGGTCTTGGGTGAAGTCCCACTGTCTGTCCAGAGAGGTCCTGACAAACTGTCTCGTGCTTGCCTCAAGAGGGGACATTATCAGTGATTCACATTTCCTTCATTTTAAGGATGAGGAAATTGATACTCTAAGAGACTAAGTGACTTGGAGCAGGAAAGTCTTCCTGTCCACTATGCCCTTGGGGGACTGGAGCTAAACTCAGCGACCCCTTCTCTCCAACCACCTACCATATGCCTCTCACCTGAAACATCTGAACAGGCCATCCTCCCACTTTTCAGTCCCTTTCAATCCATCCCTCAAGGCTGGATATTGGGAAGATACCAGGATGATATTTCTTAACCACAAATGAGATAGTGCCATGCTTTTGCTCAAAACGCTTCAGTGGCTCCTCATCACCTACAGGATGGAGTCCAGACTCCTCTGCATGACAAGGAGGTCCTCCCACATTGGGTCTCTGCCCACCTCTCTGCCATTCTCTTGTGCAACTCCATGCTGTCCCAAAAGACATCTCGCTCCTTCCGGGTGCTTTTTCCTCTTCCCTGGAACTCCTGTCGCTACACACGGGCACAGCTCCCTGCTGCCTGGGAGACCCCAACCCTCCTTTAAGACTCAGCTAAAGAATCTCCACCTCTGAGAAGCCTTTCCTGGCCCCTCCCCTCTTCTTTGTGTCACCACTCCATCTTGTACACGTCTTAATCTTTGCTCTTGTTCTACCTTATTATAATTATTAGTGACATCTGTTTCTCCTACTTTCAGAACCCTTCAAGGGCAGGGATTGTGCCTTTTCCATTTTTGTATTCCCACTGCTTCTGATGCCAGCCCTGATATCAGTTCCCCTACATTAAACCCAGCATATGTGGGGTTAAAACCCAAAGCACTCACCCTCTTCTCTAGGTTGCATTCATACGTAAATATAGGTTTTTTAAACCTTTGTATCCCTGAACTCCACAAGCAAATAGAAGTTATAAATTGTTAAAAGCCCAGGTGGCCTCACACTGGGCTCACACTGAAGTTTTGGCTAATTACTGGTTCTTGAGGTTTGTTACAGGGAAACTGACATCCAGAGAATATCAAGAAACTGAAGCTTCCTGGACCCCAACTCCTTGGCTTCCTGGTGCCAGAATCCACCATCCACCACGGAGGCAGACAAGCAAGGACACCCACCTGCGGACTCCCATATTTCACCATCCTCCTCCCTATAAGCAGCCTCACAAGGCCAAACACAGGCTGGTGGGAATGCGCCAACCAGCAAGGCCACAGGCTCCCCCTCCCTCCAAGCAGCCACATTCCTCACAACATTTAAAACCCCTTGCCTCCCATCTTTTGGGGAGACAAGATGAATTTGAGAGCTCTCATCTCCCGGCTGACGTCACCCAAAATAAAAATCCTTTCCTGGCCATAAGCCTGGTGTTCCAGTTTTTATTTGACCCCTCTTGTGTGGCAGGTAACACTTTTTGCAGCTTGTGATAGAGAGATAATTGATGATTGTTGAATGAAAGACATCTGTCTGTTCATGAATGAATGAATGAATGAATGAACAGACAGATGAAGGAATCCCCACCTTGCAGTTCCTGCTCAGCTTTTCCAGTTGTGAATCACTCCAGGGCCGGGAACAGATGTGCCTCCCACAGAGGCTTTGCAACTCAGGAATTTCCTTCCTTGACAAAGTCTGTGTTTACTCATTTTCTCAATATTCCTTTTTTCTTCTTTTTTTTTTTAAATTTGGTATGCCACTGGTGTGACTCATCACAGTGTTTGTCTTTGTGCCCGACTGCTGTGTTGGCACATAGGGGAATAGATATGTTTTAAAATACATTAATGGGGGCGGCCCTGTGGCTTAGCGGTTAAGTGCGCGCGCTCCGCTGCTGGCGGCCCGGGTCCGGACCCCGGGCGCGCACAGACGCACTGCTGAGGCCGCGTCCCACATACAGCAACTAGAAGGATGTACAACTATCTACTGGGGCTTTGGGGGAAAACAATAAATAAATAAAAAAATTTTAAAGAAATGATTAAAATACATTAATGGAGTACTCCCCAGTTTTTATGATTTCTCAATCCTTCACCTCGTTCCCCAAGCTGCTTTCTCTCCCATCTTAGCTTCATATTTTGACCCTACCTCCCCAGAGGCCACCACAACCTCCTTTGTCCACTGGGAAGGACTGAGGAGCTCCCAGTGCCTAAAACCAGCCAGTGCAGGGTATTCCATCAAGCAGAGTCCACAAGCATCTTGGCCTCTGTTAAGGTTTCAGAATGGGAGAGAAATGCAGCAGAGCAGGGATGGATGACCCCAGTCAACAGCATATTGATTGGAAGATGTTTCAATATGTATATTTAAATGCACAAAGGAAAAAAAAACCTATGAGTTACTATAAGTATCAATTTCTGAATTTGTAAGTTCCCTGGGAGGATAGTTTCAGCTCTGTCCTTTAATTAAACCAGCGGTATGATTCCCTTTTTGTCCAAGGAAATTGTTACCAAAACCACTAATTTTTTCCACGAGGACCAATATAGCTGGAAATGCCAGCATACATCTTCTGTAAACGGATCCCAGGAGCAGCCTTCATTGTCTCCAGCTGGTGGATAGTTCAGCTTTATTACTTTGGGTCATCACGAGGGCAGGGGTAGAGGGGCCGACATTTATTGAGTCCACATTTCTAGCGGCCATACATCTTTGATCTCATCTAATTCCTCACAACAACCCTGTAAAGAAGGTATTATTGTTGCTACTCCAGAGAGAGAGAGAGAAATGAAAGATCAAAGAGGTTAGAGGTCACACAGCTAATCTGCTGGATTCTAAAGCCCAGCTTTGCAAGGGCATGGCCCAGGTGCATCTGGCCTTAGCATTCATTCATTCAATAAATATTTGTTGAGCACCTGCTAGATGCCAGGGCCTGGTAAATAAAGTTTAAACTTTGTAACCCGGCATGTAAGACACTTCACAATGGATCCTCTGACCCAAGCCTACTTGTCGAACCCCATTTCCTGAATTTCTTCTGCTTGCTGCACCCATTCAGCACCTTAATCTGAGTGACCCTCTGAGCAGATGCCTTTTGTGTCCCATGCCACCTCCCTCTGGTCCATCTCAGATTTCTGCTGCAGCTGCAGTGGACAGCTCCCATGGGCTGCCGGGCTCTCACCTCAAGCACCCCCTTACTACTCTCCACTTTTCTGTCCTAGGGTTTTTCTCAAAGTCACAAAGCTCTAAAGGGCATCCCAGATGGAAGCTTCCATGGGGAAGTTAACACTCCCAGGGGCATCCCATGACCCGTGGAAATGGGAGCTGCTTAGTAAGTGCCCCAGGCTCCGGTCTTTGGAGGGCATTTCTGAGGCATGTGCTCTGCATGGTTGCTCAGTGGTCTCCAGCAGGAATGAACCCCAGTTGT